GTGTCTGTCTCTATGTCTCTGTCATTCTGTTTTTCTCTCTCTCTCTGTCTCTGTCTCTCTCTGTCTGTCGTCTGTCTCTCTCTCTGTCTCTCTTTCTGTATTCCTCCCCTTCCACTGAGCCTCTTTGTCCACAGTGTTTGGACCCTGCCTGTCTCAAGTCACTGCAGTCTGTGTCTTCCCTGCTGGATTCACACACACACACACACATACACACACACACACACACACACACACACACACACACACACACACAGCAATTATCCGCCACCAATCACAAAACTGCTCCTGCTCACCAAATGCACAGTCCTGTACACATAATGGATACCACTCCTCCTTCCACAGCGGATCAAAGGATTTTCGGTGTCTTATCACAAACTCACAGGTCCACACGGTAGTTAAAGACACAAGAAACATCAAACAGCAGGTGTGAGAACGAGGGGCATAATTACCCAGGAGCCAAAAGGAATCCCTGTCACAGTTCTGTAAGCCTGAAAACACAAACCTGAAAACTTTGTCGTGCACCTCATTTCCAGGGCCTGTGGATTTTTCTGGAAATGCTAGGACCCCACGCTCTCAATTACACAACTTTTGAAATCTTCATCAGGTGAACCTGTATGTCTTCCTCCCAAAACATTCAGCATTCCCTTTCCTAATGTGTGGACGATTTTCCCCTCAACCCTCACCAACGCGCAAAAGGAAACGCAAGGAACGGAATTCCAGGTTAGTCTTCTGTGTTGCAAGACATTAGAAATGATTTTATAGTTGAAAGGTACCTTAAAAATGAGGTAATGTGAGTAGCGTCTGGGGTCCTAAAAACCTGCAAGCAGCCATCTAAGATACATCAATTGGTCCCATCCCATCTGGAGCAAGGAGAAGGAAGAAAACCAAAGATACAAGGAAAATACTAGCCCAGCGGATTACAGGACCACATGAACCACAGATTCCACCAGCCTGAGCCCAGAAGAGCTAGATGGTGCCCGGCCACCACCACTGACCGCTACGACAGGGATCACAATAGACGGTTCCGGACGGGGCGGGAGAAAAATGTAGACCAAAATTCAAATTCACAAAAAAAGACCAGACTGACTGGTCTGACAGAGACTCGAGGAGCCCCCAAGACTAGGGCCCCCGACACCCTGCTAACTCAGAACTGAAACCATTGCCGAAGTCCGCCTTTCCACCAAAGATTAAAAAAACTCGGTGCTGTCAAGTCAGTTCTGACTCATAGCGACCCTAAAGGACAGAGTAGAACTGCCCCATGGGGTTGCCAAGGAGCGACTGGTAGATTCGAACTGCTGACGTTTTGGTTAGTAGTCAAACTCTTAACCACTGCTGTCAGACAGGCCTGTAAAACAAACAACACTCACGAGGAAAGTGCTTCTTAGTTCAGTCAAGTAGACAAGATCAAATGGGCAACAAAAGCAAAGGCGAGAAGGCAGGAAGGGACAAGAAACCTGGACGAACGGACACAGGGAACCCGGGGTGGAAAGGGGGAGGGGGCTGTTACATTGTGGGGACTGCGACCAATGTCAAAAAACAGTATATGTATAAATTTTTGAATTAGAAATTAACTTGAGTTGTAAACTTTCACATAAAGCGCAATAAAATTAAAAAATAAATAACATAAACATCTTTACACATAGTTAAGAAAGAACAGAAATTTATTGTCTTACAGTTTTGGAGGCTAGAAGTTTGAATTTAGGGTGTCAGTTCTAGGGGAGGGTTCTTCCTTGTCATGGATTGAATTGTGTCCCCCCCCCAAAAACGTGTGTTGACTTGTCTAGGCCACGATTCCCAGTATTGTGTGATTGTCCACCATTTTGTCACCTGATGTGATTATCCTACGTGTTGTAAATCCTAATCTCTATGATGTTAATGAAGCAGGATTAGAGGCAGTTATGTTAACGAGGCAGGACTCAATCTACAGGATTAGGCTGTATGTTGACTCAATCTCTTCTGAGATATAAAAGAGAGAAGCGAGCAGAGAGAGAGGGAGACCTCATACCACCAAGAAACAAGAGCAAGGAGCAGAGCGTGTCCTTTGGACCCGGGGTTCCTGCGCCGAGAAGCTCCTAGACCAGGGGAAGATTGATGACAAGGACCTTTCCCCAGAGCCAACGGAGAAAGAAAGCCTTCCCCTGGTGCTGGCGCCCTAAATTTGGACTTCTATCCTCCTAGACTGTGAGAGAATTAATTTCTCTTTGTAAAAGCCATCCACTTGTGGCATTTCTGTTACAGCAGCACTAGGTGACTGAGACACCATCTACTTGTGGCATTTCTGTTACAGCAGCACTAGGTGACTGAGACACCATCCACTTGTGGCATTTCTGTTACAGCAGCACTAGGTGACTGAGACACCATCCACTTGTGGTGTTTCTGTTACAGCAGTACTGGATGACTAAGGCACCATCCACTTGTGGTGTTTCTGTTATAGCAGCACTGGATGACTGAGACACCATCCACTTGTGGTATTTCTGTTACAGCAGCACTAGGTGACTGAGACACCCTCCACTTGTGGTAGTCCTGTTACAGCAGCACTAGGTGACTGAGACACCCTCCACTTGTGGTATTTCTGTTACAGCAGCACTAGGTGACTGAGAC